TCATCCTAATGATCAAACATATATCTATAATCCCATACTGTAAACATGTTATATAAACTAAATGCGAAAACGTACCTGAATTAGCCATAATGATGATATTCTTTGTAGAGCACCTTTGAGTTGATCTTATGGTCTTCCACCCGAAGAGCACTCGTATTTCCCTATGGATTTTCTCTCTTGATGGGGATAGAAAGAAAAGAACGGGATTGTATCCGCATTACTGTCGTGTGCTCTCGAAGGGGACCATGACCCTTTATATAACCAAAATTAGGTTAATTACTTAAGTTTTAGTATTTTCAATTTGGCCCCTCATCAAATTAAAAAATTACTCTATGGTCTCTACACAATCATATTTTCATGACATATGCCTTTAGCCAAAACATTAATTTATTCAGATCACTTTATTATTTGGCTTAATAAATAATGACCCTAACACATTTAAATATGTATCATATATATACATGACCCAAATTTTGCCAACAATCTCCCACTGGTCACAAATATATATGTCCTTACAACCTTACAAATGTGTTAGATTTTATGAGCTCAAAATTGTCATTATATTCCTTTAGCATATTCCAAAAGTCTTGTCCATTAATCATATCAGGATATAGAACCAAACCAGCTTTTCATTGCATCATCGCAAGTAAAACCAACAATGATTACTCATCCTGACATAACCAAACGACATGGATTCATCATGAAATGTGTAGCATGAAAAATTACGTGAAGGTGATCTGTACACGTCTATTTTCAACTGGTCCAAACTTTAACTTATCGAGATCGATATAATAACCTTAATGTACAAAGTGTAATGAATGAACAAGAAAACCGCATATCTATAGATAACCAAATATGTCCAAAAAACAATGTATACATATGTAAAATTAAACATAGAACATAAAATATATGAAAATGACTAACTCCCACTAAACCACAAATTCCTCAAACTGTAAAACACCCATGTGAGCAACATGCTCATGAAAGACCTTGGGCGGAAGTCCTTTAGTTAGAGGATCTGCTATCATGGAGTTTGTCCCCAAATGTTCTATGGAAATCTGTCCACTTTGTACTCTTTCCTTAACAACTAGAAACTTAATGTCGATGTGCTTTGACTTAGTCGAACTTCTATTGTTGTTGGAATACAATATAGCTGATTTGTTGTCACAATATAACTTAAGTGGTCTTTCAATGCCTTTCACAATTTGCAGCCCTGTGACAAAATTTCTCAGCCATATTCCATGATTCGACGCCTCATAGCATGCTACAAATTCTGCTGCCATGGTGGATGAAGTTGTAAGGGTTTGCTTGACACTGCGCCAAGAAACCGCACCACCTGCTAACATGAAAATGTAACCTGAAGTGGATTTCAAACTATCTTGACATCCTGCAAAGTCCGAGTCAGAAAACCCAGCGATCTCCAACTGGTCTGACCTCCTGTATGTGAGCATGTAATCTTTTGTTCTCTTTAAATATCTCATGACCCTTTTTGCTGCTTTCCAATGGTCCATTCCTGGATTGCTTAAATATCTGCCTAGAACCCCAACTATGTATGCTATGTCTGGACGCGTACATACTTGGGCATACATCAAACTCCCTACAGCTGATGCATAGGGAATCTTTTGCATTTCCTCAATTTCCAAATTCCCCTTTGGGCACTGATTGAGACTAAACTTGTCTCCCTTAGCAACTGGAGTATCCCCGGATTGACATTCATGCATGCCAAACCTTTTAAGAATTTTTTTGATATAGCTCCTTTGTGATAATCCTAAAATACCCCGACATCGATCTCGGTGTATCTGAATTCCTAATACAAAGGACGCATCACCAAGATCTTTCATTTCGAAATTCTTTGATAAAAATTTCTTGGTTTCGTGCAATATGCCTATATCATTGGTGGCAAGTAGAATGTCATCAACATACAAGATCGGGAAAATATACTTACTCCCCTTAAACTTGTGATATACACAATCATCAACAATATTCATCTCGAAGCCAAATGAGAGAATTACTTGATGAAATTTATAGTACCATTGACGAGATGCTTGTTTTAGTCCATAAATGGATTTTGTCAGTTTGCAAACCATACTCTTTGAATCTCCCTGCACAAAATTTTCTGGTTGCACCATATAAATCGTCTCATCAATGTTGCCATTAAGAAACGCCGTCTTGACATCCATTTGATGAAGCTCCAAATCATAATGTGCTACAAGAGCCATGATTGTCCTAAAAGAGTCTTTCGATGAAACTGGAGAGAAAGTCTCTTTAAAATCAATCCCTTCCTTTTGGGTATAGCCCTTAGCTACCAGGACGAGCCTTATACCTTTCCACATTACCTTTAGAATCCCGTTTGGTCTTAAATATCCACTTGCAACCAATGGGTCTCATACCTTCTGGTAATGGGACAAGTTCCCAAACTTTATTGTCTTGCATGGACTTATACTCCTCCTTCATTGCTTCGATCCACTTTTCAGAGTTAGAACCTTGCATGGCTTGACGGAAGTTAACTGGGTCATCTTCCATCATACCATTGTTTTCCTCATGTTCCTGAAGAAATACCATGTAATCATCCGAAATAGCACTTCTTCTTTCTCTAGTGGATCTTCGCAAGGATATTGGCTCATGATGCACAGGTTCTTAAGGATCTTGAGTTTGTTCTTCATGAACAACAAAATCATCTTGAGTAAGGGGTTCATTAACAATGCCTTGTGGAGGTTCCGAACTTACTTTATCAAAAGTAACTGTTTGAATCGGTTCTGGAATTGTTACCGATTCTTCCTCCAAGACAAAGTTCCTGATTTTATTCTTCCCCCCAAACTCAATATCCTCAAAAAACGTAGCAGTTCCCGTCTCAAAAATTGTCTTTAATGTGGGATCATAAAATTTATATCCCCTGGATCTTTCAGCATAACCAATAAAATAACTACTTACTGTTCGGGAGTCCAATTTCTTTTCATTTGGCTTATAAGGCCTTGCCTCAGCTGGACAACCCAGAATATAAGCTGTCGTCTTTAATGCCTCTCCCCAGAGTGACTCCGGTAAGGTGGAATGACAAATCATACTCCTGACCATATCTTTACGAGTTCGATTTCGTCTTTCAGCTACACCATTCATGTTAGGTGATCCCGGCATGGTATACTGTGGGACAATTCCACACTCCTCTAGGTACCTGGCAAAAGATCCTGGACGCTGTTCACCTGACCCGTCAAATCTGCCATAGTACTCACCACCACGATCAGATCTGACAGACTTAATTCTTTTATTGAGTTGATTTTCAACTTCAGCTTTAAATGTTTTGAACACGTCTAGAGATTGTGACTTTTCATGTATAAGGAATAAGTATGCATATCGTGAGTAATCGTCTATGAATGATATAAAGTATTGTTGACCATTCCACGAAGGTGTAGGAAATGACCCACAAATGTCCGTATGTATCAACTCTAAGACGTCTCGTAGCTCTATATGCACCTAATCTCTTCGCTTTGGTCTGTTTGCCCTTAATGCATTCAACACAAACATCAAAGTTTGTGAAGTCAATGGACTCTAAGATTCCAGTTGACACAAGTCGTTCAATTCTATGTTTAGAGATGTGACCTAAGCGCCTGTGCCATAATGCTCCTGAGTGAGTATCATCAATTTTCCGTTTAGTACCCCGTGATTACTGTATTAAGGGTTTCGTTATAGGTGGTCACATTATCAAGTAAATACAGATTATCATAAGGCAAAAGTGAACCAGTTCCAATAATATCTGAATTAAAAGACAAATTGAACTTATTGTTTCCAAATGAACACAAATAACCTAATTTGTCCAGATAAGAAACTGAAACCAAATTCCGTCTAAATGACGGCACAACAAAAGTGTCTTTCAAATCCAAATAAAAACCAGTACTCAATAACAATTTAAAATGCCCTATAGCTTCCACCTCTACCGATTTGCCATCTCCAACATATATCCATCTTTCGGAATCAATTGGCTTCCGGTAGCTTAGGCAACCCTTTATAGAAACACCGATGTTAGTAGTTGCACCTGAGTCTAACCACCAAGTGTTACTAGATACTGACAGCTAAATTGACTTGAAGCAGACCAAAGTAGGAAACATATTTTTGAGGATCGGAACATAATTTAAATTGGCGAATCACGAAGCAATTGTAGATTGGATTAGAACAAAAGAAATAAACTAATTATGCTCACATTATAAAAAATAAATAATTATAAATAAAATATATATTCAAATAATGGTTTAACCCATCTCAAGACACCCAATGCACCATCAATATCAAGTCTTTGGACAGTAATATTAACTGCTAGAGGTATCTTGTTGTAATAATCAAACATTGACAATAAAGCACGTCCAACAACAAACCAGTCTTTGGATTGATTTATCATCGACAAAGCAAATCTTTATAATTATCACATGTTTATCATTACAAGTGTATATGCAATTCGGCCAAATATTAATCTTCCTTTGGGCCGACTAATACTCGCATGAATATACACAAACACTAACATTCAATATTTTTCATGAACCGCCCAATTCAAGAGAGGTTACTTTGGTAACTTCTTGACTCAATTTGCTCAAAAAAAATATTAAACTACCAAACAAATTAATATTTTATTTATATAATAAAATCAAATTTATAATTCTAAAGAACCATTCATGGCCCTTAAAGTTAAAACGGGAAGAGTCTGCAAAGCAAGTTGTATAAGAGCAGAACCATGGATATGCTGCCGAGTTTAAGTGATCCTTCCTCACGCTTACAACATAAGGTTCATACATATGACACACATGGCAAAACACGCCACCCATAACATGTCACTATTACCAACCAGTTGCCAACATCCATGTGTGACAAATACTGACCAAGAGATATAAGATTACTTATAATGTTCAGGCTTCAAAATACCAATATAAGGCAAATTTCTGTACTGTTCGGCAAAATCCATTCCATAACCTACAACAAAGTAGTCCGGGCACTCAAATCCACGGTAGAATTTTCCTTCACCGACCAAGCTGAACATCCACCTTTCTCCTTGAAGGTTTATCAAGGAAAGTGCACACAGAAACAGAGGATGCTCCTTTTGATTTCAAGTGCTTAAAGACTCTAGACAAGGTATGACCAGTATCTACAATGTCTTCAACCAAGATGACGTGACGAGCGTTGATGTCAACCTTCAAATCGAAGGAAATGATTGGTGCGCCATTTGACTCAGTTCTGGAGCCGTAGGATTCAGCTCGAATGAAATCAACGGGTATGGAGAAATCGATCTTGCGAACAAGATCTGCCACGAAGAGGAAGGCACCAGTGGCCACACCGACGACTATGGGGGCTGGTGAAGAACCTACAAAGTCAGATTTGGCGGCGAGCTCGGAGACACGGCGAGAAATTTGGCCCTCGCTCCACAGAATTCTCTCAACGTGGAAATTTGGGAATTTACCCCAAATTCGAAACTAGGTTTTTAAAATTGGGAATTTAACCCCAAATTTGATGGTAGGGTTTACAAAATTGGGAGATTATTCTCCGCTTAGGGTTCTGATTTAAATATAATCTAAATTTTGATAAATCTAATTTCCAAATACAAACATGAATCAAGTATGGGTAGCTCTGATACCAATTGTTAGGTTAAACTGTAATTGAATATGATCTTCATCCTAATGATCAAACATATATCTATAATCCCATACTGTAAACATGTTATATAAACTAAATGCGAAAACGTACCTGAATTAGCCATAATGATGATATTCTTTGTAGAGCACCTTTGAGTTGATCTTATGGTCTTCCACCTGAAGAGCACCTGTATTTCCCTATGGATTTTCTCTCTTGATGGGGATAGAAAGAAAAGAACGGGATTGTATCTGCATTCTGTCTGTGTGCTCTCAGAAGGGGACCATGACCCTTTATATAACCAAAATTAGGTTAATTACTTAAGTTTTAGTATTTTCAATTTGGCCCCTCATCAAATTAAAAAATTACTCTATGGTCTCTACACAATCATATTTTCATGACATATGCCTTTAGCCAAAACATTAATTTATTCAGATCACTTTATTATTTGGCTTAATAAATAATGACCCTAACACATTTAAATATGTATCATATATATACATGACCCAAATTTTGCCAACACTTCATACATAGTTTGTTTATTTAGTTATTAGCATTTGTCTTTGTCTTCTCTATCACTCTTATATGTGAGATGAGGTAATTAAGTTTTCTCATTGCTTTAGTAAAAAATACTTTTTGGTTATTGTTGTAATTAATGGTGTATAAACAAAAAAAAAAAACAAAAAAACTTGAATTCTATTTTCAAAGAATAAGAGGTTGTTCTCAATAGTTTTTTTTTTTTTTAGAAATTACAAATATTTATATAGACTCGAGTAGAAAATATGTTGGTAGATGCGGTAAAAATTGTTGGATTTTATAGATACGTAGTCGTGTTTGATATTATATAGTGTGTTGGTATGGTGGCGCTAAAAGATGCAACAGAGCTATTGTACAATCTTCATTTAGAAAACAAGGTTGTTTTATAGATAGAGTGTGATCTATTTCTTGAAGAATTCAAGACAAGCCTGAAATTAATTATTTTATGTTGGTTAAGGTTATAATCTATATACAATATATTGTTTATTATCTGAATTAACCTTAATTAGAAAATATTTCTATTTCACTTTTGTTTATACTATTATGAAATTAATATGAAAATTTCAAAATACCATTAAAAAGTCTTTTCATAACAGTGAATAAAAAATTATATTTGTTCATTCTATTCAGCAACAAGAGTATTTCACCCTTATGTTTGTTATGATAGTATCATTAAGATTTATTATTATATTTGAGATATGATTCGTTTTAAAACTTTAATTTGTCATGATTTGTCCTTAAAATGTCTTGATGAATTAAGAGAAGAGAGTGTATGTAAACTACCTTTGACTTCAATTCTTAAGCAACGTGAGACTCATAAATATATTGAAATATAGTCCCCTAAGTCAAGAAGTAAAGGGGTAGGAGTGAAATGAGACTCTGCTCTTTGTCCCTCGATGGGCGCCAATGTTCTATCTATGAACGAAAGTTCTGATCTCATGTCTGCTATGACATTATGGTCCATTATCATGTCCAAGTATTGTTCATTTTAGAATTCTAGTCTGTCTCGGTTTTCTCCTTAAAAGACACTTCGATAAATTGAGAGAGATAGTGTATAAAAATTATCCTTAGCCTTGAATCTTAAGTGATATGAGATTTATAAATGTACCAAAACAAACCCTAATCGAGGACTAAGAGGTAGGATTAGAGCGAGGTTGTGTTCTCGGTCCCATAGTGGACACCAATGTCAATCTAGGAACGAGTATCTCGGTCTCATATTTGCTATGATAGCATTATTAGGATTCATTACTACATCCGGTACGCTCATGAGTCTCACATTACTTAGGATTTGAGGCCAACACTATTTTATATATACCTTCTTCTTTTAACCTACTGAGACACATTTTAAAGACAAATCGTGACGAACTAGAGTTTCAAAATAGACAATACCTTGAACATAGTAATAGACCTTAACAATATTATTACAGCGAACATCAACTCAGGACACTCTCATTCTTAAACAAAACATTAGCTCCCACCATGGGCCAAGAGTAGGATCTTGCTTCGCTCCTACCTTTAGTCATCGATTGAGGATCGCTTAGAAGTTGAGGTCAAAGGTAACTTATATACTCAGACGTCTTTTAAGGACACAAAGTCGTGACAGATTAGAGTTCTAAAACTGACAATAGTAACGAACAATAATGATACTATATTGTAATGAAAATAAGGTCGGGACACTCCCATTTTTAGATGAAATATTAACCGTTATCGTATAGCCAATAGGAGAGTTGTTAAGTGGTAAAAAGTTGATATAATTATGCCTTGAATTGTTATAAAACCACTTAACTTATGTTAATTCTAATATATTTTTCTCCCAATATAGGATGAATTCGAGAATACCTTGATACAAGAGTAAGGAGCATAATTGTCAGCATAATTGGAGTAAAATTGAAAGAAAGAAGAGCACTTAAGCGAATGAATGATGCGAGGCCCGACCCAAATTCTCTTATAAAAATATAAGTTGTGTTTTGAGAAAAGCAAGCAGTCTTGGAGGAGAGGAGACACGACTACTGTTAGAGTTTTGTCTAATCTTCATCAATTCTTCACTTCTTCATCAATTGGAGCATTGTAATGGCCAACATGAGTGGCTAACTTCATTCTCTTAGGATTCGGTGCACTTCCTTTGAACTCTTTTGTATCATGGTGATATTTTGATATATTAATCTATGCTTTGATGTTGTTATTCTTATCCTTTATGCTTTGGAATAATTTATTCTTGATTGTTTGAGGTATGATTGGAAAATATATCTTGAACCCTAGATCACGGTAAGAATATTTGTTACGTTAATTGCCAGGAATTGAAGGAATGTATCAAGTGCTTAAACACCCTAACCCTAATGCTGGAAAATCTCTTAATTGTGTGAGGAATCAACATTTATTAGGTTTTCTTATGAATTTCATGTGTGAGGAATCAACATGGATGATTTGAGTAGGTGACATCAACATTGTTAGGTTAATTGACGTTCTTAATTGATTTAGCCATTACAAAAGAGGGATAAGGAAGGAAGTCAATCCTAAGTACCTTTAATTGATATTTTCTCAACAATTTACAGTTCTTTGTCATTTAAATTCAACTCAACTCTTATTTGCAAAACCCAATCTGTTTAATATACTTAGTAAGCATAATTGAGAATTTTTATTGAAACTGTTCTCGTGGGATCGACTTTTATTTTATCAAAATACTATATTGCAATTGATAATTTTGGTACAGCTTGCCAATAATTCAACAAGTATTTCTGGTGTCGTTCTGTTGGGAACGATGTTCTTTGAGAATTCTTTGTTTAGCTTATTGAGTATTTTATTTTTATTTCTGTTTTTATTATTATTATTATTATTATTATTATTATTATTATTATTATTATTATTATTATCATTATCATTATCATTATTATTATCATTATTATTATTATTATCATTATTATCATTATTATTATCATTATCATTATTATCATTATTATTATTATTATCATCATTATCATTATCATTATTATTATTATCATTATTACTATTATTATTATTATTATTATTATTATCATTATTATTATTATTATTATTATTATTATTATTATTATTATTATTATCATTATTATTATTATTATTATTATTATTATCATTATTATTATTGTTATCGTTATTAATATCATCGTTATTATCATTATTATTATTATTATTATTATCATCGTTATTATTATTATTATTATCGTTATTATTATTATTATTTAGTTTTTAGTTTGTGCTAATATTTGCTTGAGTTACTCTTTTGATTTATGCGTTTAAGAGGACATGTATCTTCAGAGCAGTTAGAATTTAATCCAGAAATTGAAAAAACAGCTCGGAGGAACCGGGTAGAAGAAGAAGGGAAACTCAAGAACAAGTTACAAGAGAATCTGTTAATTCTTCTTTCACATTTGATTTACCAGACCCAATTATAGAAGATATGGCGGACGAAGGAGCAAATCTGAATCCAAATCAAAACCCAAATTCAAATCCACCTAGAAGAACTCTTAGAAATTGTGCTATGCAGTAAGGTCCAAGACATTTTTCCAGCATTGTCATTCCGGATGATCATACATTGCAAATGAATCCAGCTTTCTTAAGCTTGATTAGTACTCATCAATTCACTGGATTGGATCATGAAGACCCTTACATTCATTTGTCTACTTTTTATGAGTTGATTGGTACCATGGGATTTAGAGCAGCAAATCTTGAATCTGCATATTTGATATTATTTCCTTTTTCTTTGGCAGGTAGGGCAAAAGAGTGGCTAAAAGCACATCCTAATCAGAGTTTGACTAATTGGAGTAGTGTAGAAGAAAAGTTTCTGAATAGATTTTTCCCATCATCCCGCTACATCAAAGCAAAATCTGACATCACTTCTTTCAGACAAGGAGCAGATGAACAATTTTGTGAAGCATGAGAGAAATTTAAATCACTGTTGAGAAGTTGCCCAAATCATGGATTTGATGACGTTTCTCAGTTGAATATTTTCTATACTGGCTTGCGACATGATGCAAAGATGCTATTAGAGGCTGCAGCAGGAGGATCCATGTTGGATGTAGAAATTGATCATGCCACAAGAATTATTGATGCACTAGCTTTTACAGACCAACAGGCCCAACATGATAGACATCCAATTCAAAGGAAGGGAGTCCTTGAACTTAACACCACAGATGCTCTCTTAGCCCAAAATAAAATTTTGACCCAACAAATTGAAGCATTGAACCAGAAAATAGAGAAATTACCTCAACAAATGCACACAATACAAT